GTAGAGGGAGAGAAATATTTAACGTGAATCTGAAGGTTATTTGAAGCTTTAAACCCAAATCTTGAAGGTTATTTGAAGCTTTAAACCCAAATCTTGAAGGTTATTTGAAGCCTTCTCCTCTCAACAACCCTTATTTGCCTTTTTCTTGTGTTTCCATTGGACCTTCCAACCCTTTCACCCTACTCAATCTCTCTACATCACACAACCACTTCCCTTCACTCAATTTCTTCTTCTCTTTTTGTCATTTTTATTTAGACGCTTCATCTTCTGCTCAACAAAGCTTTCCTCATAAAGGAAACTTTAAAAACATTGTCCAGTTTCATACAAAATAAAGCATATCTTCACAGATGTTTAGTGTAATCCTTATTACTAACTTGTTGAAATTTTATTGAGCACTAAAGAAAACAGTCCCTACCTCTTGTGTTCAAGCATTTATGGACATGAAATTTTTTAGAATGAATAGAATAAAGCAATTATGCAGTAAAAGTTGTTCACTTACTGTGATACAGTGCATATTTTAGGCATATTCCAAATCTTAAAAAGATACAAAAAGGGAAAAAAGAGTATGGAATGAGTAACTATAACTATGATATTCTCTCTCTATGACCCTTCTCTTGTTTCGCTTTCTAGTTTTGGATATCAAAGTTAAGAATGGAAGTTACAGAGTCATTCAGAAGAGCCAACATGTTAAGCCTTGTGACTGAAGTCTAACAATATTCCTCTGTCCCCCCACAAAATAGTCTTAAGCTATTTTTTTTCCTCTCTTTAAAAAAAAAAAAAAGCAGGAGCGGGGATGAAGAATATAATTCCGTCTTCAATCCCATTTATTTGACGAGGAAAAAATGTTCTCCACTTCCTCTCTCATTCCCCATCTAAACGGGAAATTTCCTCCCCATTCGAGGAGGGTCTTTGCAGATAAAATGAACATCTCTACCGATAAGATCATCGGAAGAAGCAATGTCGATCAGGGACTTTTATAATCGTCAACTTGAACATAACTACATTAATTAAAACATGCTCTCGATCAAGAGAATAAAGTTTGGAATCTTCCAATCTTAGTTGTTTTTTAATTAAAAAAACGTATTTATGATTAATAGGTAAAACTTGAACGATAAATGAATGCATTATAATGATCCTTGATCATGGTAGATGGTTCTTATTTGTTTGATTCTAAGATCTAAAAAAGAGAGTAATTTGGAAGAATTATCTCTTATAAACGAGAGAAATTGGGTATATATATAATCATTTGTAGAAGTGGGGCAATGAAATATTAGGCCAAATCTACCAAACTATTAAATATTTGCCTAAACGTTTGGTGTATGATTTGATTATACAACACTTGGGTGTTCTAAAAATTACAGCTTTCTCTCAAATCTTAATTTAATTTAATCCATCTTCCTTAAGAACTCAATTAAAACCCAAGTGAAAAGAAATTGAAATGAAAAGAGACCCAAAAAAGAAGCCTTCATAGTGCTTGCTTTGAACAAGGAGTAACAGGTAATTCCCAACTCAACAAGCTATTCTTGGGCTGTTTGTTGGCAATCTGGCATAAAAAAAACCATTGCATTATTCTTTGTTTATTTACTAAGTTGTTTTAATTTTTAATTTTCATTCTTTATCTGGGCCTTCGTAGTATGGCCTAAAACTTAAAAGCAAATCATGCTTAATTATCCGATATAAGAACCGACACAAACACAAAATACAAGTAAATTAGATAGAGAGAGGCTTGTGACGATCGTGGGGTAACAACTTTCTCTCTGCAATTCAAAAGGGTCAGTGAAATTTGTTTCCATTTGCTTCCTTCAGACCGATCTTCTTCTGGGTTCAATCTATATTTGCATTTCAACCACTTGCTTAATTCTTGATGCTCTTTTTCTTACTGTTTCCTGAATTTCGTTCGGTTTCTGAAGCGTTTTTGTGTTTGAATATCTATTTGTTGCTGAGAATTTCATTTCGTTCGTTCTTGTTCTTGTTTGGGGATTGTTCATTTCTCTGGATGCTGTTTGGTTCCTCAGAATTCAGTGGAAAACGGAAGGGAAATTATGGGTTTGGATCATCAGTTCCATGAACTTGTTTTGGATTGATGAAGATTTTGTGTTTAGAATTACATTATAGATTTCATTATATGTTTAGAATCAACTGAATTTAGTGTGTGTTCTTTGTGATCAACCCCAGAGGTCAGTTTTGGCTATAAATTTTCCTTCGATTTGGTTTTACTTATTCTGCAGCATGTTTGTATGAACAGTGGAGGTGATTGTACTGCTTGATGTCTAATTTTTTAACGAGGAAAAAGGGTATTCAGTATAAGCAAACCCAAAAAGAAAAGGAAAGATAGAAATCGAATTCGGGGCGTTTGGTGTCGTTTTCGATTAGATCAAGACCTGAAAAGACTAAGCTGTTTATGATTTTGACATTCGAATAACATAATTATATATGTGAATTGGCTTAAACATTTGGGACACTCTCCGTTTGGTTGTTCATGTGCAATACAATGGAGAATATTAGACATAGCCTGAAATCTTTTATGTTGATCTGTTCTTCACAGAAACATGCTTAGAGGAAGAGTTTTTAGCTTTCATTCTTATAGTTTTGTATCATTTTGTTTAATTTGAACCATTAATTTCAGTATGCAACTCTCTTAATTTCGAATGGTTTATTTTTGCATCGACTCATGTTTTCTGTATCCCGAAATAACAGATTACGAGTAGTAATTTCGGCTAGAAATCATGAAATTCAAGAAAGGGAGTAAGCTGAAGGTATTGAGCAAAAGGAAAGTGGCTTTAGGACCACAATGTTCTATGGAAGCATTAAGAAGCAATGGCTCCAACTATATGGCTGGATATGTTATGTCTAAAGGTGTCAACAACCATGATATGGTGGAGAAGGTGTCTCGAAAGGTCATCGTGCCCTGCCACACTCGTTTAGACCTTTCAGAGGCTTGGGCTCCTGGTGATGTCGTAGAAGTGTTCGATAACAACTTATGGAAAATAGCCACAGTCTCTGAGGTTTTGGGGAAAATGCACATTCTTGTCAGATTACTTGGATCCTCTCAGGAGTTTAAAGTCAGAAAAACTCATATCCGGGTTAGACAGTCGTTGGAAGACGATGACAATGCATGGGTTATGGTCGAAAAGGTAAATATCGTCTATCTACTTTTGTTTCACTGTATTACTTTTTGCTCTATTATGGGTTATGAATTGGAAAACTTATCATGTGTCGACGAACACGTGGTCGTGCTGTCGTTGTTGAATTTTTTTTGTCTTTCTGATGGAAAACGTAAGAAACAACCGACCGATTTTCATGTCATATTCTCTTGCAGTTCAAGTGTTGATAAATTTTATAAGTGAATGAAGCGATGTCTTTTGCGTGCAGGGAAATAAAAATTCTAATGGAGGGAAGCTCCATACGAATCTATTTTTGAACCTCGATCAAAATTCAACCTCTCAAGTTCAAAAGACGAACTCAAGGACGTCTCCGTGGAAACAAGACGACTGTTTTGTAAGTCGGAACGAAAAATTTCAAGATAGCTACAATGTGAGAGTTCTGAAGAGATCAACCGATTGCTCGTCTAAAGCATCTTATCGAGCTAGCCATAAAGTTCGCCCGATTGAGAAAAAGGGCAGATACGTTAAGGTGGTTACTGCAAATCGAACATTGTTACCTAAGCTGCAGGTAGATCTAGTTTCTTGTCCTAGAGATTCTCTTGGTGAAAGACATTGGCCTGCATCATTGAATCACAGACTTGGTGAGCATTTGGAATTGGATATCAAGGATAACGAACCAGTTAATCTGGTTCGGGAATCGAACGACGTAGATAGCATTATGTGCTCTGTTGGTAGTTGCAGCATCAGCAGCGACAACTCAAGTGAGCTGCCATGTGATATGTCCGATCGAAATGCTGGTCACTTCTGCGAGGATCGATCACGTAATCATTGGGGACACGAAGGACATTGTCTCCCTACGAAAGAAGAATTGGCAGCCGAAATCCATAGGTTAGAGTTACGTGCGTACCGTTGCACTATTGAGGCATTGCATGCATCAGGACCTTTGAGTTGGGAACAAGAAGTATTGATCACAAATCTTCGACTTTCGCTTAACATATCGAACGACGAACATTTAATGCAGCTAAAATATTTAATATCTGCAAGTACCAGTACTCCAATTAGATGACTGGGAAATATATTCTTTTGCTTATCATATCCATTTCCGATATAAACTGAATGTACAACTTACCCAACAATTGAATCTGTTTATAAGATCCTTAGTCCAGTTTAGTTTTATGCTTCATTGATGAATATGTTGATTGCTTCAACCATTTGGAAATAAATGAGATATGTTAATAGCTTTGGCCATGGCTGATGGTTCCTCACTACATTCCTCCATTTCAGGCCGGTTAAGCTCGAGACTGGATTCTTCTCCATGCCAAGCGATGGCGAGCGCCCTCGAGGTTATACTTCAAACCCTTATGTCGCTTTGTATGTTCTTAGATATATATGGTAGATATTTCGTAAAAATTTAGTTAACTGAAACCATATATACTCTCTCACATCATCGATAAAACCCTTGGCCAATAGTTCTAGACTGTATCTAAGAACGACACGGCCTTGGCTTTTGGCCTTTTAAGAGGGGCCAGGTGAGCCCTACAAGGAAAGGGCACCAGCATTTATGGGGCTCCACCAAATCCTCTGCTATTGTCTCATTAGCCAACTCTTCCTGATTGACATTCCCATGTGATCTTGCTCCCTCTCTCACACACACACTTAAGAACAGATAATATAATTGTCTCCTTCCAACACCCTTCTTCTCATCTTCTGATATTCAAACTAAACTAAGCATATCGGAAATCAAAGTTCGTATCGACACAATTTTGACTCTTTCAAGCTCGGAAGAAGTGGTCAGGAAGTCCCATCAGATAATGCCAAACCAAAAAGAGACAAAGGGAGAGAGACAGAGATTTAAACCACAACTTTGTAACATCTATGGGAAAGTATACAGACAGATAACAAGATACGGATTAAGTTCTAATCCCAACCTTTAATTGTGTTATTACGAGATACTTCAAGCTCCCTATATGTTAGTCGTTTCACGACCTTATACTGATAATTCTGTGGTTAATTTTGACGATCCTAGTAATTTTAATTTAAGGCTATCTTTTCAAAAAGAATGGGAGCGCCATACTGTGGATAAAGAAGCATCAGGACAGTCGGCGCATGCTGATAAGTAGGAGCCAATCGAAACGAGAGACGTTGAAGTATAATCACCATTGCCAACTTTGCTTCCAAAACTGCTAGATTTTGGCCGATGCAATTCCGAACCCCAAGTCCGAATGGAATGAACCCAACTGGATGATTTCCAGCTCGGCTTACTCCGTCTGAGAATCGCTCTGGATTAAACTCACTTGCATCGTTGCCCCAAATAGTTTGATCATGATGAACGGCAAGGATTGGAATCAAAAACTCCGTGCCACGTGGGATCATTCGTCCACCTAGCTCCACGTCAGCGTTTGCACGTCTGATTGTAGCCACGGTGGGTGGGTACAATCGTAAGGATTCATTTAGTATCATGCTCAGCTGCCACATCCAATCATTTGCCACCAAGAAACAAACACCAAATTAAATTACAAAATAATATTTTGTATTAATCTAATTTTGGATATTTCGCTCAATAATGTATTACTTAATTAAATTATTTTATTAAAATGCATGTTGGGTTTTACAAGATAAAAGTCGTCATTATTACCATTTTTAATATAAAGTTAAATAAATAAATAAGGGCTTACAATTTTGAACTTGGACACGTCATCAGAGGAGGGGAGGGCACGTGGACCGCAGATGGTAAAGACCTCATGACGTGCCAGAATTTGCCAGCGTGGATGCATTGCCAGCAAGACAGTAGTCCACGTCAGCAGATTGGAAGTGGTCTGTTTGCCAGCAAAGAAGAAGCTTTTGCATTCTTCCACGATGTCATGGACAGAAATGGAAGCTTGGATCATGAGCCCCAACAAATCTTTTGGTCCTTTTTCATTAATTGCCCAATTCTTTTCAAAATTCCGTTTTCGCCCCTCGATTAATTTCAGCAATGATTTCTTTATTTCCTTCTCTAATTTCCACGACTTCATATTTGTTCTTGTCGGCAAGAATCTGTATATTTTTTAAAAATAAATAAATGGGTAATTCAAATTCAAATTCAAATTATAATGGTAATTTTACCTATAGCCAGGAATGAAGACCTTTTGAAAAGCTTCTGAAGCTAATATCATTTGTTGAGTTTGAATCTTGAAAATCGCTTTACCATCTTCATAGCTACAACCGAACGCTGTTTTCGTTATGACATCTTCAGTTAGCGTTTGGAAGCTATCGAAAACATCAATCTCCACCTCGCCCGAGGTCGTTTCCTCCGTCATAGACGACCATTTCTGTACCATATCCATTACACTTTCCTCTACTAAAGGAATCAGCAACTGCATAACTCAATTAGTTAAGATATATATTATCGTAAAAAAAAAAAATAGATTAGTGGGTTACTTTGAGATTGTCTGTGTGAAAAGTGGGGGAGATGATTTTGCGATGGAGAGCCCATTTTGGGCCATTGAGAGTGAGGAGGCCGTCGCCTTCGAGCTGTTTAACGAGTGGATGGGCTTCGTTTTTCTCGTAAAAATGGGAGTTAGTGATGAAGATTTCTCGGATCATGTCGGGGTCGGATACCGCAACTCGAGCAATGGGTCCGAACCAAATCACAAACGTAGAGCCTAAAATGCAATCCCGAGCACAAACAACGAACTTAATTTCAAGAACGAACTAAAAAAGTGAAGAATATTCTCACGTACCGTAAATCTTCTTCCAGTGATGGTAGAAGGAGAGGACACGTGGCAGAATATTATGAGAGAAATTGGGTATTGGATGGGAAGAAGCCGCCGCCATCATGGAAACCAATTCTTTGAAATTACCAATAAAGAAACGATACGGCGGCCCTCCAATTCCTTGCCGGAGAAAGTGGTTCTCTATCCTTCTTGGCTTCCACCATAACACCAACCCCATTTTTGCACCCAAAATCACCACCACCACCGCCGCCGCCGCCACCCCAAATGGCACCTCCACCGCTGATTCCAACTCCTCCTCCATTCGCCCCTTTAATTCACTTAGCTTCTCTCTTCCGCCTCTTAAATAAACAAAACCCACAAACACCAACAAGCCCAACCCCGTAGGGGCCGCAATTGCAAATCTCAGCGTCAACGGTTTTATTGCAAATTTTTACTGTTCATGTACCTATTGTAGCATTCGATCCATCCGTGATTACTAGAGATTTTGACTTTGTATGCATACGAAGCGATCAACATATTGATTGTAATTGATGAGAGCTTTCGGTTCTTATGAGATTAGAACCTTATCTCAATCGTATTTAAAAATAACGTCTTCAGCAAATTACTCCGTCCCAAATTAATATTAAAATAATTATATTAATACATATGATGCATGGTAACATTCACACATGCAAAATAATATATATATAGTAGGGTTGGATGATGGGATATTCGATGGAACATTTCCATTAAATTATTTGGTGAATTTTATTTCCTTTTTTAAATTTTCATTTAATAATATAAACTTTCCTTATGAAGATAATGTCATGATAATGCTATTAATTTTTTTTAATTGTTTTGTTTTATATCTATAAAAATAAAAATAAAAATATTATTTTTTTTCGTCTAGTCATTTAGATAAATATAAATGTACGTTATCTCTATCTATGGAATAATTTAATTGAGAAAAATAAATGATTATATTAATGGTACGACATTTAATTTTGTATTAATTTATATTACACCCATGTTTAAGTAAATGCTGAAAATGACAGGTTTCATGCTCAAATGAAGAAAGAAAAACTATACTCTAAAATTGATTATGTGACATAATTCAATTAACCTAAGGTTTTCCGCCAAACAAAAAAACTGATCCTTTTTTCAGGGGTGAGTTGGTGCGAAATGACAAAGCACCACACATCGGCCACAAGCTGCCACACAAAAGAAGCCAAATGAGCCAACTTATCTGCAGAATTATCATTTCTATGGCACCCACAAAGTCCCCTGCCTGTGTCAGTTCGATCTCTCTCATTTGTGCATTAGATCGGATCGAGTTTAGATATTTTTTTTAGACTTTGTTAAATGAACAGAACTCTCTGCAATGGTACGATATTGTCCACTTTGAGCATAATCACTCATGGCTTTACTTTGGACTTTTCCAAAAGGCCTTAGACAAATGGAGAGAGTTATGTTCTTGTATTAGAGTCATGGCTATATCAATACAATTCTCAAATTTCGAACAAATGACTCCAAAAGAAAAGGAGTGGAAGCTCCTTGAAGGCATAGTAAAAAATGACTATGACTCCAAAAGAAAGAGAAGTTGCGCCTCGATTAAGGGGAGACATACTTTGTTCGAGGGGAGATGTTAGATGAAAGTCTCACATCAGCTAATTTAGAGAATGATTATTTCATAATCAAGGAATACTATCTCTATAGGTACGAGCCCTTTTGGGAAAGCCTAAAGAAAAGCCATGAGAGCTTATACTCAAAGTGGACAATATCATACAATTGTAGAGAGTCATGTTACTATATGGGCGCTGAGTTGGAGTCATCAAGTTTGTTTTTTTGGGTCATCAACTTGTCTCTTGTACCATCTTACAAAAGTAGGATTTTTTCAGTTCAAAATAGACAATATCGTATTCGGTTCAAATAGACATTTTTGAGTATACGAAAAAAAACACGACCAATTAAGAGTTGGAAACATAAAAACATTGAAGTGAATCATAGAAATGTGTGTAGGTGTGTCTCTCTCCCACAAACCCATTTGTTGTTCCAAAAACATGATAATGTGTTTGGAAGGTTGCTCTTAAATTGGTTCACATGGGAACAACGGCGTCTATGTAAGAGGGAGTTTGTGTATGTGGTTTATGTGGGGAAATACGGTTTAGTTGACCCACCACCCAACAAGGGGTGCCCACAGCACCAACCCATCCGCCCCCTAAACTTTGTCCCAATGCACCTCACACAACTTGGCCCATCCTTTGTCTCCCTACTATTACGTCGCTATTCTCCATTTCTCTTTCAATCTAAACCTACTTGTTCGTTTCGTAATATTTCGTTTCTTTTCGGTCGGAAGTTTCGCTCCCGATCATACCTTATCTAAACAGAATTAGGATTGGAAAAATCAGAGATAAAGTGAGAATAAGGTTCAAATAGACATCAAATTTTAATTTTAGATATCAATCGAGCAATATTTGGAGTAACTTCCAATATAATAGTAAAGACAACACATTTTTTTCCTAAAGGATATTTAATAAAAAAAAGGAGTCAGAGAGATGAAAAACTGGGACAGTTGGCTATAGAGCCTAATGCAAGTCTTTTCCGCCCAAAACTCATATACAACCTAGAAGAGTTTCAACTATTCAAAATTCAGTGTTGCTACGTAGTTTTGATTGGGAAAGAATACGACACATTTTTTCACCAAATTTTGGTTGTTTTTGTTTTTATAAAGATTTTAAGCCCACCAAATTTTAGGGGAGAAAATAATTTATTGTTATTTTTTAAAAATAAAATAAGGAATATTTTAAATGATATATTTCTAAGAAATTCAATAATGGTAAGGGCATAAGAGACATTGTAATTTTTTTTTAACTTTTGTATATTTTGAAAAATATAATGATAATAAGTGAAAGAGGGATGTCAAATCATGTCAAGACACGTGTCATCCAATGATTGAGCGTGGAGGTCCAAATCAGAAAGTGTTTGGTTACATCAACTCAATGGTTTGGCAGATGCAGCAGATCCTTGTTTTCTTTCTCCTTATTACTAAACTACCCTTCTACGTCCAATCATTTTTTTTTTTAATTTTAAACACATAAAATATTTTTTTTAACGGTTATAAATAGTGGAGAACAAGATTTTTGAATAATTATGAAGATTAAAGAATTAATTAACTAATTAATTGTGGGGAAGCCTTTAATTAATTAATAAAGATTTTAATCTACTTAAATAAATATAATATAAAAAAAACATTTTTAAATTTGAAATTTATGAAATTGAAATTGTGATATATAGCATTTTTTTTTTTCGATTATTTGACAGAAAAATGGAAATTGAATAAAGAAAAAAGGGGAAATTAGATCATGTTTTTTTTTGTTTGGTACCAAACTTAACAAACTCTGACACTGATAATGTTTTTTTATATATAAAGAAAAAAAAAAACAGAGAAAAACAAATGCATTAATTCGTTCTATTCCCACAACTTTGATTTATTGCAATTCGAGCCTCCTCTGTTTTTCACTTTTTTTCAGTTAAAATCTCTCTCTGAATTTAAGGCTTTTAACTGTCATATGAATTATTCCTTCGAATCCTGTTACTTATCGTCGTTCCGTTTCCATACCCTTATATTCATCTTTCTTGGGGTTAGCATCCTCGTTGACATACCGCCGTTATTTAGCTCTAATACCATTTGTAACAACTCAAACTCATTGGTAATAGATGTTGTTTTCGTTGAGCTTTTCTTCTCGAACTTTTCCTCGAGATTTTAAAGTGCATCTACTGTAGATAAGTTTCTATGCCCTTATAAAGAATGTTTCGTGCACCGGAATAGATTTTTATTAAGAGGATATTTTGCCGTGATAATTAGTTAGAATATATCTTAGATATTTAGGAAGCTGTTAGTATAGATTTGATTAACCGTATATTTTATTTATTTACCAGATTTAATTAGATATATATTTTTCTATTTTTAGGTATTAGTTGATAGTTTGTATCCTATTTAAACGTGTAAACCTGAATGAAGATCATACTTTCGATCCCAATTCTATTTCTATTTCTCATTCTTAACATGGTATCAGAGCACCGATCTTGGTGTTCTTAAATATCAAAATTTCCTTTATGGCGGAATCAGCCAAATCTAGCTTCAAAATTTCGGATGTTGATTTAACACATCCGTACTATATTCATCACTCTGATCAG